TTTACTGAGTGATGAAGTAAAAGTTGTCCTCGTGACACTGGCTGTGATCCATAATTGCAGTCTGGAGTGGGGACAGCTTAATTGTCACGTACAAACACGACAGAACAGCAAACCAGTTAGCTGCGTCATGCACATGTGCAGCATGAGCATAACAGTGTGTATACAACTGTAAACAGAGACACAGAGAAGTATGCAAACCCTTGTGTATGTTTACAGATGCATCATCCAAACATACCCACACACATAATTAGTCCCACAGTGTTTTCTCTCTCTGTATTATTCATACAAACTTCCTACATTAATTATTAACTGTAAACCAAGTATTGTTCTTCATATCTGGAATGTTTTCCACCAAGCTTTAGCCATAGTTATAGTTGTTATATGGCACATACCAGTCTTCGTTATCTTTTTTAAGGACATTTTTAATTTCAGCTGTTGTTCTGTATCTGATATTGTTTAGTGATTCAGATTTTCTTTTTTGTGCATTGTAAAAAGTCTTTACTGATCGAACAGAATTGGTACAAACAATCTGCACTACAGATTCCCATCATGCCAACTCATTGTCCTCTATTGTATTTTACAAAGAGCTCTAATGAGATACAATAAGGGCTCATTGGTTTGCTCGTGACTGAATCCAACTGACTGCTTTTTCTAACCACCTTAGACAAAGCAGCCTATCTGACACTCACTGGGTTCTTCTGTGCAATAATGACAGTAATGTTTCTTTCTTGCCACATCAAAGTAATACTTTTGTGTTTGTCGTGCCTGAAAAGGTGTGTCGGACTTAAAACAAATAATACAGCTTTCACAGCACATCACTAATTTGAAAATGTATTCCAGTATAACGATATCAAACACAGAAACTGAAAAAAAACAAACCGAATTTATATTAACTGATTTTGAAAAACATCTCTGATAATACATGTTATCTATCAAATGTGTGCTCTTGGACTATAACACATTATTCAAATATATATATTCCTGTGGCTTGTATTGTTACTACATTATTGTGTATTTTTATCCCCTTTGGAATTTGTCTTATACTGCCCCCTACTGTTTGAGGTATTAACTATTCCCCTGTTCTTGTGAGTGGAACAATTTTCCCTGTCACAGAACACAAAAATGCACTTATCAAATTTGTGGGACTTTAACAGTAAGGTTGTGACATAAATGGTGTAATATCGATTTAAAATGTAATCAAACACTGGAGTTCCCCTCCAGTGTCTTTGTTCTTCTGTGTGGACAGACATGGAGTTCCCCTCCAGTGTTTGATGGTGGAGTTGAAATGTTCCCATTTTGATGAGGGTCTGAAACGAAGAAAGCATTTCCTCAATTGACTGTCATCTCTCTGGGGCCCTGGCACTGAAATACTGATAACATCTGGAGCCAGGAAAGAAAAAATAGTGAAAGCTGTGGGAGAGAGAAATATGAAAAGCTGAGATTGGCACACCTAGTTAAAATGCAGGAGGTTAAAAATGAGAACATGAACAAGAAATCTGTCCACATGTCTGTCCACACAGAAGAACAAAGACCTCTGTCTTTTGTTTAAGTTGGGGTCAGCAGCATGATTGTGACGATAAATTTGCACTTTTTAAAACAGAATAAGAAAGAGCTTTGCTACAGGGTGTTTGAGTGTCTTGGATCCTTAGACTGTGAGCTCCACAAGTGAGCAGTGCAAACAACAAAAGGCCTGACCACCTTTAATTTAGCCAAGATTTCAGAACTGTTAGCAGGGCTCTGCCAGGAAATCTCAAGCAGCAGTTGGACTCATTAGCAGAACCCACACATAAAAGCAGGAGCTTGATCGTTCAAGTCAGTAAAAACAAGCTGTGAAAGGCATTAGATAACATTGAAGGGCAACAAGGATTAGTGCAATGTGGCTAGTCCCCTTCAAACGTGTTACAAGGCTTGTAGAAACCTTTCAAGTTAAGTTATAGTATTATGATGTTTCACCTTCTGATGCTTGAATAACAAGCGCTGCAATAATGCAGCATAGAGGAGATAAAAGGATGTATGACTGTTTCTAGATTAAAGGTTAAAAGAACTGGTCTAGTACTGGTTAAATATTTCAAGAGATGAAAAGAGAATGGTAATGCTGCGAATGCTGGGCCACTTGGCGTAATACTAATTAATTCTGATTTGGAGTCATTCAGCTGAAGGAAACTATTGGACATGCACTACTGAATTTCATCAACACAGAACATAATAGATGACACGCTGGTGGTATCAGGACATGAAGCTCTTTTTCATCCTCTTAGTAGCAGAACTCTATTATATGTTTAAGTCTGATTTGACCTAGAGGTTAAATTTATATAGGAAACGTAAAGGGAAGATAAAAATAGACCCCTGTGGCCAAGTATATGTAGAGATACAAATATATATATGTCAAATATATACATACATACACTCCCAGTAATACTTATTTTGGTTTCCATTAAGAAGTTGCAAGTCAGTGTGATTCTGGCAGGATAATTGACCGCTCTTGACAAAATTAGTAGAGTTCCCAGCTTTTAAGCCCAGTCCACAGATTTCCAGTACAGTCGAGGTCGAGTTTTGGTGAGGCCATTCAAGAAGCTTAAAGTTAGCCTTCTTTATCCATTCCAAGACCAGTTTTGATGTGTGTTTGGGTTCATTGTCCTGTTGGAGCACTCAGTTCTGCCCTAGTTTCAACCCTTTTGCTGCTGATATGACTTGTTGAAGTTGATAGAATAATAAAAACGTCCTCCTTCTTCTTTGTTATATTACTTTTTTGCACTATACCAGTACCACTGGCAAACAAAACGGCAGCTCCAGTGCATGATGCTACCACCACAATGCTTTACAGTTAACTTTACAGATTGCAGTGAACAGTAACACTGGTGTTCCAGCAGTTCATGACAGGTTTTCAAAATAAAATCATAGATAAAAGTGTTAGCTGAATGGTATGTTTAAAATTACAAGAGAAAGCTTCTTTGAAATAACATAATTATTAGAAGTTTGTAAATTAAGAGTGGAAATGCTCCTAGTCAAAGAACAGACTACAAAGAGCTTCTTATTTAGTATTCCGACATAGCAAAAATAGGTTTTTGTGCTTTTTCAAAGTCATTAACCATGAGGTACTGGGGTGAATTAAGGAGCACTTTAGATTCAGTTTGTAGAGATAACAAAATTCTTATCACCTAAGCCTGCTGACATATACTCTTGCATCAAGATATAGATATTTTTTCTTCATTTTGACAAACTTCTTGTCAATGCTTCAGTTAGCAGCTATGAAGTACAAAGGTGTCAACAAAGCAGAATGGAGGAGAGTTGTATCATCAGAAAGGCAAACTTCAGATTTAACAGTCAAGTACTTTTTTTACATGCTATTATAATGTAGTGTGACTTATGCCTTTGCAACACAAATTTCAGTCAAATCACAGGGTTAGGCCAAATATCAACAATTCCAATACATACTCAGGAATCCAAACTGTGTTGAAACTATCTCCAATTCCAATTTCCCACTCGTGGGACTAATAATAAAGGCATCTTAATATATCTTGAGTATTCACCCTAAAAACCAGCCTAGCCAATATAAGAATATCTGTCCTTGCTAGGAATCATAGTGACAGCACATCCCCCACAGAGAGAAAAGAAATAGACTCCTGCTTTGAATACATGTGAAATGAGTTTTGCTACATGCCCACAGGCTTTGGTTGGGAAATGCATTCTGTGCCTATTTGCATAAAGGACATCTGTCTAGTTAGCAATTCATATCTACAAATGTTCTCGTCCACAGCTATGCGGACAGTTTATCTGGAAAGCAAACAGGACTGGAGTCTGGGTGATATATAGACCACAAATGCATGTTTGAATATTCAGCAGCTAATAAATATAGAAAGAGTGCTGAGAAATTCTGCCCGCCTGCAGGCAATTCACTTCTTATTTAAATGTTTAGTATGAAACTGAAGGAGCAGAAAGTGAAATATAAATGTCTCATTTTTATGTGTGAATGTGATTGATTCGTTTGGGTTTGGTGGAGTTGGTTTGATAATGTCGAGACAGTGACTCATGAAAGCACCTGCACCTGTCTTTGCACCGTCAAGATAAAACAAGGCAATTCTGCAATTTTTTGGCTTTTGGGTTCCTAAATTTCCTTCAGTATGCTGTATTTGAAATAAAATCTCATGCGCAGGCTCTGGGCTCTGGTAGACTTTTAGTGCTAATGCATGAAGTCACCTCAACATTAAGAGCTCTGATTTGCTGCAGTTTCTTATTACCATGGAGAAATCCCACACAGCTGGGTGATGAATCTGTGCCTCGCTATCTGACAAACTAATTGAGTGGGTGGACTAAGAAACACAGGGTCTTGCTGCCTGGCCTGGCTGTTCAAGTCAAGAGGCTGAGAGAAAAGAACATTACTCATTAGAGATTTGAAAAGTTCCTTTCTGATTCAGTATGTGTATGTGAGTGCTGGTACTGGTATTGCTCATTTTGTGGGGACAAGTCTGTTCAAACATTCATATTTAATGGACGTGTCCACCTTTTGTGACAAAAATAAACAAATCCCAACTAATGGAAAGTTGTGAAATTGTATTAAGGATTTGGCATATAGTTAGAGTCTAAAGTTTCAGAAAATATATGCATACTAAAGATTAATGTCAACCATAAGAGTGGTGGAAAAACCAGAGAAGCCAGGGTTACTTGTAAAAGAGCTCCATCTAATGGTCAGTGATATTAAAACTACACTCATCTGCCACTATATTAGGTATGCCTGTTCAATAAGTCGTTAATGCAGATATCTAATCACCTAATCATGTGGCAGCAACTCAGTGCTTTAGGCTTGTAGACATGGTCTATTGAAGGTCAAACTGAGCATCTGAATGGGGAAGAAAGGTGGTTTAAATGGCTCTAAACGTGACGTGGTTTTCAGTCATGGTCTTGACTTATAGTGAACGTCTATGTCCTGCCGTTAAGTAATACAACTGAGCAAAAGAACATTTTATTTTGAAAGTATTTCCCGGAAGACTGATTAATGTCAGGCTACGTTGCCAAGTAACCTACTGAGATATTTTCAAAACATCTGCTGCCATCAGCTGATATGTTTAGAGAGTAATTGGCAGCAGTCATGAGGTGATGTATATTTTACATCACAATGACGTTTGCATGTGATAAGAAGTCACGTGTGTATCACACAATGTAAATACTGTATATTTTATTTCCCTGGCTTAAGTTAGCTAACGTTAGCTGTTTGATGCCTTTGTTCCAAGATAAATTGCAAACTTTAAATCAAGTTGTTTTTGTATTTTATATAATGGGACAACATTTTTTATGACTTTTCCATATGCAGAAGTTTTTATGCCGTTTTATTGATACATACACACACAGAAAACCCAATTTGTATTTTATCACAGTAATATGCTATGTCAGAAATTTATTGAGTGAGTTATTATTAGACTTTATGTTGGACCTATACCACAAGCTATCTGCATAGTATTACTAAGGCTATTTAATAGGCAACAAATGTGCTGCTGTGTATGATATTTTAGAAAATGGCTGCACATTTTTATATGTAAAGTCCTAATCTATAAAATAACATTTAACCTTAACAGTTTGTTAAAAGTAATGGAAAACATACATTAAAAAAACCCAACTTAATTCCTCCTAAAGAAAAAAGTGTGGTGAATTAGCAATGTGAAGTCAATTAAAATGACTATAATTTGAATGAAATAAAAGTGCATACCACCAGATTATATGAAAAATAAGTATCTAAATCAGAGTAAATATTCCCACTGTTTGTTCTCTCATCAGTAGAACTCATCATAAGACACATTATGCAATATATTGTCATGTAAAAAGTAATCGGTCTCTTTGTCCTTCCTTCTCATGTTTCCTCTTCTGTAGCTTGCAGGAGGACGAGCCCCAACAAGGGACACTGCAGGAGGTGGCAGCCAGAATAATTCAGAAGACTTGGAGAGGATATATGGTAGGAACATCTACTACTACTGCTATGGGAACACAGACTCACATATGTGCACAATTGTAGGAACAGCTTTTTTTTTAATCTACCCAAATTGCAGGCCAGTGAAGTCTTCAGGTATTTCAAAGAGCTGATTTTCTACTGCAAACAGCAGGATCCAAAGACCATCCTCAAAACTGTCAATCCTCGAGAGGTAATGGAAATTGCAACCCCTGTGAAATAAAACCAAATCAAACAAAATGAAATGTGATTTTGTTGTGGCAGGCCGAACTGCTGGATGCTGCAGCTGGAGTGTTTATCAGATTTCGACTTGGAGGGGTAAGAACTCAGAGAGGAAATAGTTTAGGTCAGGAATAGATCACTCAGGAGCTATATGAATATAATATTAGAGACATGCCTTCCTCTCTAAGGCTAACCTCTCTGCCATTTTAGATCAACTTTCCTTCTCATATTTATTACAAGATCTTCACCCATCGGCCCATTACAGATGTGTGTGCAGGCAGCCCAAAAGACTACACCAAGCAAAGTCGTAGGAAGCTTGTGGCCCAGAAGACCAACAAAGGCCCAGCTGTCGCAAAGGATGACCAATCAGGTTGGTACAAGCGCATGGAGAACAATAGTAACAAGGTGAGGAACAAAAATGATTTTCTGTTCTGCTTTAGTCAAGTTCTGCCATTTGTTTAGAAACAGGGAGCCAAAGATCTACAGCAAGTTTACAAATGCTGTTTAACAGGAAGCCTCTAAAAGCCGAAGTTCTGCAAGTCTGTTTTGGGTTTTTTTTTGCTTTGTCTTCTCTCTTAGGTGGTTTTGGCATGTGAGCCTGCAGAGATCGGTGCTAACAAAAAAATAGACTTTCATTACTCCAAGTTGCAGCGGAAGCAAGATTTAGAGAGTTGGAGGAAAAGAAAGAAAATTGAATGGCTGAAGCAGATGTAAGTGCTTTATGTTTTTGTGAAATGAAACAGTTGGTGAGCAAACCACTGTAGCATCAGTGATCACAATAATGCACATGCAATCTGAAGTTTGTGTCTGTTACTTATTAATAGTGATAGAAACCTCCCCCTTATGGAATCACATCTTTGCTAACAAACACATAATGATGTGTTGTTTTAATTGTGTTAAATGAGCTGTCACTCCTGTTCCTTACATACAGGTATAAAGAGGGTCATCTGCAGGATCATGCAGAGCACAGACACATGGCGGCCCTGGTGGAGAGTTCCGCCCAGGAATTGATGGAGACAGTTGAAAAGAAAGGAGATGATGAAATACTGGAATGGGAGCTGGATGAGCTGCTGGCCTGGACCAACACTCTAAACTTCAAGGAGTAAGGCACTCTGATTCGAATGTTTGTGGCATTTGTAATCTTTCTCATAATTTCCTGCATCATGGGATGCCCCCCGTATGAATTTTCCTCTCTTGCCTGTGCAGGTATATGGAGGAATGGAGACATTTGGCCTGCAGTTACTCCTCTGAGCTGAGCAAAGGTAAAAATATTCCCTAAATACTGTATTCTGTGCTGCCATCTGATTTTTTTTAAATTGACAGCTAACATGGAAACATCATGTATGTTGCTTTGGAAGTCTTTGCATTATCCTGATAATCCAGTCTCATGCTATTCTGTCTTCCTTTTTTCTTCATCACCTTTTTCTCATAGTATCTCCTACAGATGGCCCTTCTCACCCACCCAGGTTAGATCCACACGAGCTCGCTGATGAAAACGCAGCAGAACAAACATGATTTATGTTAAAACTGTGCAGTCTCGAAGTGGAGTGTGCCACACTGTTATTGTCGCAGTATTCACTTTAATAAAGTCTGAAACTTGCAGTTGTTTACAGTCTTTGTTAGTCTGTCATATAAGTAGACATCACTGTGTGACATTTTTTGTTAGTTTTAAATAGTTTTTAAAAAACTATAAACATGTGATGAGCGTCTTTTGAAGTGGATTTTAATATTACGCTGCAGCCGAGAGAGCACTCTGGTCAAACGTCAAAATGGTCTCTAAGTTTACACGTTAGTTTTGACTGCTAATGAAAATAGTTTTCTTTACAAATAACTCTCGCACTGAACTAACAGCCAATCCCTCAACAAGTTTGTGCTCTCTGCTCATATTGCCTTCATATTAAATCATTTTGTGCTTTTTAAAGAACTTATTTTAACATTGCACTCAACAACAAACAAACCCTCCATAACAACAAAAGTAACTTCAATGGCCAAACTGCATTATATTTCTTCAGGATGACTGAAAACAGACAAAACTACTATCTTTTAGGCACTGCTGGGAGTTGAACCCAGGATCTCCTGTTTTCTAGTTTAAGACTTACTAGACAGGCACTTTAACCAACTAAGCCACAGTGCCACATACACACAGATGAGTGACTTGTTAGTGTGTAGACTATAGTTTGTTACAGTAACATTGTGTTAAACCACATTCCGAATTCCAGACAGTCAGACTGCCAAAAATTGCTGCTGATGATGAACATCTGCAAATCAACATACAACTGATATCCCGTGTGTTTGTATCTTGACTGTTCAATTTCAAATATATGCTGGTGGTATATGAAGGCAAAATGACAATCCCAACTGGTCCTAACTGTATTTATGCCTTTTGTGTTTCTTAACTTGATATCTGAGGGTGTTCAGCTCATTGTGATAACACACTGTAGCACTGTAGAGAGAAGTGCATTTTAAAGGTGAGCCTTACTTGTATTCTGGCTGTTATTATTATTATTATCATTAAATTCCAAAAGCTTTACTTGTCATTAAGGTGACAAATTAAAGTTTTGCAAATGACTAACGCAAGACTGAAAAACAGGGGGCACCCGGATTTGAACCGGGGACCTCTTGATCTGCAGTCAAATGCTCTACCACTGAGCTATACCCCCTCACGTTAAGCATAGAGGACGCATACGTATTTATCATCATGATCATAATCATTCCCCCATACGAAGTTGGCATAGAGTTCATGTTTATATCTTCAATTAAGTGATAACGAATTGATTTCGTATACTTTACATATTGTACAGCACACCATTGTCTGTTTAACTGGAAAGACGTGATCCTGTACATAAGCTATCAGCGGATGTGTCGTCATCAAAACGAGACGTTACCGGATACAGCAGTGTATCGAAAGGAAAGGGGAACAAACGAAGTGACAATGGTATGATAGCGTTTTTAATCCCTATACCATATTTTTAAATATCTTAAATCTTGTTGTTGCGTACTCTCTCTGCTTTATAATCTGTGTGATCATTTGAGGTCTCGGTGGTGAAGTTGTTTGTCTTTAACCGTGCCCAAACTGAGTAGCTGTGAATTTGATTAGTCACTCGAGCTAATGCCAGCTAGCGCTTAGGTTAGCCACAAGGTCCCTTAGATAAATACAACTTCCAGTATTTGTTGCTATTAGCTACATTAGATAGCCATTAGCTAAGTGTTATCAAATGTAAATGGTTTATGTATGTCTTTGATGTGGACTACAGAATTCCAGAGGACTTCGCTCTCAGCTTAAGGACAGTGTACCTGTGGCTGGGTTCTCTCCACAGGGAGCTTACGGAGTGCAGGACTCCCTCCGTAGTGGGTGAGAAACTGTTAAAAATAAAACTCTGTTGCATGCTAACCTCCAAAAACACATTGTTGTATTAGCCCCCAAATAAAGAACAATGTGCTTTTCGTAATACTGTTTTTTTCTCTTCTACTTTTATTAAACAGATTTACCAGTGTTAAAAATGAACTGCTTCCAAGCCACCCGCTGGAGCTGTCAGAAAAAAATGTGAGTCATTAAACCAATTAATGCTGTTTTCATGAAATGCTTAAATGGTATTTGTGTTCTGTGCTTGGTTTTACTATAAAAATTACTGTTATGTCAAATGCAGCTCAGTTTAATCACAATAGACACAAAGTGCAAGTAGTAAAAATACGTTTCTGTGGGTATCTCACTGTTTTCTGTGTTTCTCCATGAGCAGTTCCAGTTGAACCAGGATAAGATGAATTTCTCAACACTCAGAAACATCCAGGGTCTTCACGCTCCTCTAAAACTTCAAATGGAGTACAGGGCGGCCCGACAGGTAGCTGCAGTCCTTTTTCAGGTGTTCTCGTGTTTTGTTTTCTTTTTCTCCTTCTCAGTCCTGACACCAACTGTTTCTTCCCTCCAGATCCAGCGTCTCCCATTCCTACAGAGCTCAAATTTGGCTCTCGATACGCTGCGAAACAGCGATGAGTCCATTGGATTTGAAGACGTCCTCAACGGTGGGAACCTTGTCCTTCCCTTTTACACCTTCAGTGATATGTGTGACGACGTGAAACCATGGCTTATACTGTGCTTTTGTCTTTTTCCTTTGTAGATCCAGCCCACAGTGAAGTGATGGGTGAGCCACACATGATGGTGGAGTACAAATTGGGATTGTTGTGAACAGAGTTGTGCACACAGATCCATATTATTATTATGTATGAATACATTTGTTTATCAACTCCATAACCAAAGTTAGTAGTTGGTGGAGAGTTTTAGTTGTGGAGTACTTTTGAGCAGGAAATGGGTGTGCGTGTGTAGTGATCTTGAAAAAAGTCACTCACACAGGCTGCTTTTGTATGATTTCATTTGGTTATTTCTAATAAACTTCATGACTCTCCTCATTGTCCTGGTTCATTTGATCAGTTATTGACATTTTTAGATGAGCTTGCGCTGATAAAATTACCTGGTGATGTGTTCAGAGAGAAGGTGTAACAAAGCCTCACTCTACCCACTCTGAGTTTGTTCACCTGTATAGCTAACATTGATTCGCCAATGCAACAGGTTAATAAAGAGCAACACTTGTATTTTAATCCATGTTATTCTTCACTTCACTCATTTTTCATTTGCCTAACTTGAAGTATCCTTAAAAACTCATTCATATCTAAATCGTTTTTTTTTTCATCCCACAATTAAATTCTTCAGATATGTTATTTAAGTCTAATTGCATGTTTATACAACTGTACTCTCCAATTAGAGCTTAAGGAGCTGTTGACAAGGCTCTCCGCTTTCTTTTAAAATTTGCACTGTGAAGCCCGAGCTTGTTAACATTAATAGCAGGGTGGAAATCACTGAGGTTGAATTTATAATGGCTGATGCTTGGTGGCATGGGCCGGTCAAACATCTGCAGCGAGCTGAAAAAACGCAGAGTATAGGTTTGTGATTCATGCTTTTCTGGGTGATGTATGACGTTCATGTGAAAATGTGCTAAAGAGAAATCCTACAAATGAACCCTAAAAAGGCACATCTGTGAAGTGAAAACCATTTCATATATCATGATGCTCATTGAGAGAAGGCTGAGGGTTTGTGGCACTGTAAAATAAGCAAAGCGTGGCTACTTCCAGGAATCTAAAATTTAAAACATATTTAGTTATTTATCATTCTTTTTGATGGTACATGATTCCATATTTCTTGCTTCATTTATTTGACGTCTTCAGTTTTGGACACACATTGTCAGGGTTTTTCTATATTGTAGATAAAACTTTTGACTGGTAGCTTTCAAGACAATCTTTCATACATGCCGCTTTATTTCCTCTGATATGTGACTTTTGGAAAAAGACTGCATATTTTCATGTGGCTCGTTGGTCTAGGGGTATGATTCTCGCTTAGGGTGCGAGAGGTCCCGGGTTCAAATCCCGGACGAGCCCATATGTTGTCTACATGACCAAAATGTTGTTTAGCCTCTATTTAATCCAGCAATCAGTGAGATGTTCTCTACAGCTGCAAATCACACATGTTGTTCCCATAGTAACTGATTTAGGGGCTGCTAAGAGATCTGATATGAATGACCTCATTGGCCTTGGCCAAGTAGAAAACATCCACAAATATTTCCAAAAATCTAGTGTTGTGTTCATTTTTTATTTTCAAATATTGAATAACAAGACAAAACTGCAAAGCTGAATTAATTATTTTCACACTCTTAATTAACTGAAGCCTTTCACTGAACTACCAAACAAACAACTTGGTACTCTCTTTCTGGCCAGTGTCATTGAAGTTTTTAAAAAACTATAAACATGTGATGAGCGTCTTTTGAAGTGGATTTTAATATTACGCTGCAGCCGAGAGAGCACTCTGGTCAAACGTCAAAATGGTCTCTAAGTTTACACGTTAGTTTTGACTGCTAATGAAAATAGTTTTCTTTACAAATAACTCTCGCACTGAACTAACAGCCAATCCCTCAACAAGTTTGTGCTCTCTGCTCATATTGCCTTCATATTAAATCATTTTGTGCTTTTTAAAGAACTTATTTTAACATTGCACTCAACAACAAACAAACCCTCCATAACAACAAAAGTAACTTCAATGGCCAAACTGCATTATATTTCTTCAGGTCAATATACGGGCCCCAAGTAGGAGGGAGGTAAGCCGTGAGTTTGAGACCCTTGCTAAAATGAAACGGTGGAGAGTCCCAGGTATTTATACACCAGTGGGATGTGTCCCTTAAAGGAATCCGGACACTCATCTTTCAAAGCTCCTTAGACTAACAGGCCCTGGATGACTGAGAACAGACAAAACTACTATGTTTTAGGCACTGCTGGGAGTTGAACCCAGGATCTCCTGTTTTCTAGTTTAATACTTACTAGACAGGCACTTTAACCAACTAAGCCACAGTGCCACATACACACAGATGAGTGACTGATGAACACAGAGAAAACCTCCAACCGTTAAATAGATTTGAGCCTAAACAGAAACACATGAAAGGCAGTCTTGTTTCTTATATTACTCACCAGAGGTTGTCGCATAAAAAGAGACGACGTGTTTAAAACTCAGGGGTTAAAAGTGGGACGGTGTTTTCGTTTTTGCTAGCTAAAGGTTCAGCTGCTGTTTTTCACAGGGAGAGAGAAGAAAGGGAGCTAACATCACATGGAAATGGAGAAAGATAAGAAAGACAGGACAGGAGAGGTGAAAGTGGTTCACAATAGTATCACACAGATGTACATAAAACATACATCATCATCATACAGCACAAATCCATTTAGAAGCTAGTCTAAATAAATGAGTCTTTAGCTGCTTTTTAAAAAACCTAAAGGTGGAGTCAAAGCATTCCACAACCTGGGGCCACCGCTCTAAAAGATCTGACTCCTTTGATCGTAAAACGTGCTTGTGGGACCACCAACAGCCTTTGATTAGATGATCCCAGGCTGTGAGAGGGAGGGTGGGGTTCTAACAGATCAGCGATGTAGGCAGGAGCGTCACGACTCAGAGCTTTAATAGTCAGCACTAAGAGTGAATTCTATAATGTACTGGAAGCCAGTGTAATGAGAAGAAAACCTATGTAATGTGCTCTCTTTTTCATGCCTTTGTTAAGAGCCTTGCAGCAGGACTGACTGGAGACAGTTACGATTCTTTTGGCTCAAACAAAGAAAACAGCTGTTACAATAATCTAAGCAAGCCGAAATAAAAGCTTGAATAATCATTTCCAATTCAGATTTAGACAACAACAGTCTGGTGAGGGGTAGTTTGGGAGACTGTGGGTGTTCATAAAGTACCTCCTATTCCTAGACTTTTTCTTTGATGTTGATGAGAAAAGGTCATTGATAAATCGATAAACGCCTGTGAAAAATATCATTACAAAGGTTGGCATATGAAAGAAAGAACCTCTAGGGTCAGATCTACTCGTGTCTGCAGCAGCTAAAAGCCTTCTCTTGACATTAAAAAGCTGTTGGGTTTACTAAAGAGGCTCAGTGTCAGCTTGTGACTGAAAGTTGTGAACAGGAGTATTTTTGCAGCTGGCCTTTGATTCAAAATCTTAAACACTAAATGGGATTTGAGGCTAAGAAACTCAAACTGAGGATCATCCACAAAGACCAACAAGTCAAAGAAAACAGGCACGTTCTCATTTTTACAATCTCACATGTCAGTGCAACAGGGACTAATATCAGGTTTAAATGTCAACATAGTATACTCAGCTTAATCTGTCTCTCAGCCGAGGAAGTCTGAACAGCCCCTGCTATGTAGTTACCAGCACAACAACCTGGATGTGATCCTGATCCCAAAGCTCTACTAAGGGAATAGTTTAAGCTTTTAGCCAATTCATTTCTGTGTTCGGGATTCCCAAAGTAATTCAGAGGGATCAAGGCTCTAATTTTACTTCTAGATTATTTGCACAGGCTCTCCAACAACTTCATTTTAAACATAAATCATTGGTGTGTCATCGTCAAAGTAAGGATTCATTAGAACGCTGCCATCAGCATTTAAATCATTGCTACATGCTTGTTGCACCAAACTGAAGGCTGATTGGGATGAAAGTTTGCCTTGGTGCTTACTGGCAGCCAGAGTAAGTAAGTTAATCCATTTTTTTATATAGCGCTTTTTAAGACATGAAGCTATTAAAAAGTGCTTCTCAAGGGAATATAAAAGCGTATCAAACAAAACAACATATTACACACGAACATTACCCAAATGTCTGTCTAAACAGATGTGCTTCAAGCTGTTTTTTAAATGAAGCCACAGAGTCGATGGTGTGTAGTGGGGGAGGTAAACTGTTCCACAGTGTTGGAGTTAGGGTTTGAAAAGCGCGATCCCCCTTCGTTTTCAAACGGGTCCGTGGAATAGTCAGAAGACCACTGTCACTGGCTCTGAGGATCCTGTTTAGAGTTTGAAGGTTGAAAAAGCTCCGCGATATAGGTGGTGGCCTCACCTTGTAAAAATATGAACTTAAAAGTGAGGATTTTAAACTGATATCTGTACACAACCAGACGCCAGTGTAAGGATTTTAACATGGGAGTGATATGGGACCTAATTGCAAGCGACAACGTAATTCAAACAGAATTCAAACAGTTTAACAGAAACACATGAAAGGTAATCTTGGTTTTTATATTAATCACCAGAGGTTGTCGCATAAAAAGAGACGACGTGTGTCAAAGTCAGGGGTTAAAAGTGGGACGGTGTTTTTGTTTTGCTAACTCTCCACAACACTAAACTTCAGGCTGCTCACCTACAGTCAGCCTCCTCCATTGCCTCTTGATGCCCACTCACACTAGTCAGCTTCTACGACAGTGGGTGGGGTAACTGCAGAGTTACTGTAGTTTTGCTTTTTCATTTTTTCATTTGTTTTTAATTTTGTCTAGTTTCACTTACTTTCTGTTGTCAGTTTATGTATTTTAGTTTAGTTTTTATTGTTTGAAATTGTTTTGCTTTTCATTACAATTTTCAGTTCAATTCTATTTTATTTACATAAATAAAATTACAAATCACAGCAACAGTTGCCTAGGGGTGCTTTAGACTGTAAGATCAGACCCTACAATAACACATACCCCACAGCGGCCATGAAGAACTCCCTTTTAAAAAGAAGAAACCTCCAGCAGAACCAGGCTCAGGTAAGGGGCTGCTGTGCCAGAGAGCAAGAGAATAGTAATAACTAATAATAAGATGCAGAGTGGCGTATAAACACGTAGTCAGAAAAGTGACATGAGAAGAATCTTATTGCAGCATAACTAAGGGAGGATTCAGGGTCCCCTGGTCCAGTTCTAACTTAATGCCTTATTCAAAATGAAAGTGTATGTTAAAGGAATTCCCTGACTTACACTGTCTTTGTGTCTTTGTTTAGAAGCAGAACGACACAGATGGATCCACTTCCCAACCCTGTCATCGCTGTGGTGGTGGGAAAGATATTTCTGTTCTAAAACCTTTGTGCATACAAAATA